ATGTGTAAATATTCAACTTTATTTAACTAAATATCTCAATTGCAAATCCGAAAAGGCATTACACATTTAGCTAGATATACACCTGTTTTTAAAATCATTGTCTGTTATTTTAGCTCTTTATTTTGCTCTCTGGGCCTGAGCAAATGCAATAAAGCCGTTCATTCATTTGGTGTCTGCTTCATACACAATAGTGCTTACATGCAGATTTATTTCTGTGTGACAAACAAGCTGCCAGACCACCACTGCTGCTACAGCAGAAGAGCTTATACGGAAGTTCTGCTAGGTCAAACTATTTGCAAAATGCAAAAAGGAAATTAGCAAACAGGAAATCAGTTCATATTTATGGCAGCTCAGTTCTTTTTTTTCTGCCTTATATGGCGAGTCTGAGAGAGAATTGAAAGTGTTTTTGAACAAGAGGGAGAGGGATGGTGATCGTCTACTCCTTATGATGAGGATTATATGATGATATATCAAAGACACATGAAGATAATGTGAAAATCAATTACGCATTAGTCAATAATAACATTTGCCGTGCTTTGATATTTCATCAGTCATGCCCTCTCTCATCTCCTATTCTCTTCTGTCCTTAATTGCTCTTAATTCTTTTTCAGTATTTTAATTGTCCAGCACCAGTTGAGCTGTTGAGTTTTGCCTGGCTGATGAGAAAACGTCATTTGTTGGATTTCATTTATATATGAATTTACTTTTAGGTCTTCCTTGACGTGGTTTCTTCATAATCACACCCAGAACTGTTAATATCTTTTATACTTAAAACTTAAAAATGCTAATACTGAATGGTATCTATTATTTGAATTTTTTTTTTAAAAAGGAACACAATTCTGTTCTGGTATCGATGAAGGCTTAAAGATGGGGCTATAGGGGATTTTTTTAATGTTTTTGAAAAAATCTCTTATACTGTTTTTACTGTGTTGAAAAAAAAAACATTGTGAACTATTACTACAATTTAAAAGAACTGTTTTTTATTTTAATATATTATAAAATATTTCATCCTGTGATGGCAAGTATTTTTAGCAGCCATTACTCCAGTCCTCAGTGTCACATGATCTGCTGATTTGGAGCTTATTTGTTATATTTAACAATGTTGAAAACAGTTGAGCTGCTTAATATTTTTGTGGAAACCATAATACAATTTTTAGGGTTCTTGAATAGATTACTAAAAATAAATAGAAAAATGAAATAGAAAGTTCAAAAGAACTTTCTTTTTTTTAAAACATAAAACATTATAAATGTATTTACGCTCTCTCTTGACCAATTGAATGAATCCTTGATTTAAAGTATTAATTTCTTTTAAAAAAAGGAAATGTAAAAAATTAGTCTTCCTTCATTTCCCTCCAGCACAAGGCAAGATGACTTCTTCATCCTTCACGAGAATGAGTATGACAGTCTGCTGGAGTCCACATTTAAGACTGAGTTTCTCAGTCTGCTTTGCAAACGTTATGAGGAGCAGACCCGAAGCAAACTCTCACTGTCCTTCAGCGACAGGTGCTGATAACTCTCTGTCTCTCGTTTATAGCATTAGACTCATTCCAGAGCAGTACAGAAACTGATAGTAATATTTTGTGCAGGCTGGAGTTCCGTGTGAAGAAGGAGGGCTGGGGAGGAGGCGGCACACGTATGGTGGTTTTCCAGAGGGGACAGACTGATGCAGCCGTCATCAAACCTGGAGGAAAGACCCTTACTATCTCTATAGGAGATGGACTACCAAAGACATCCAGTACGTGAGATGGATGAAGAGTGTCAACAGTGGCACAAAAACTGTTCTTTGAGCTTCACTGCATGTTCTTTTTGTTTTTCTCCAGAGCCAACAAGGAAAAGCATGCCACAGAGTCATGGAGGAAGAAACCAGCCACGGCACAGAGGTAAAATTCCTAATTTATGTAATTAAGTAAAAATTCTGAGCTATAATTGCTATGCTGAACCATGTGGATACATTTTTCCCCTCCATATTTATTGAAACCCTCTATCTGATATGATTTATGACAGGGGGCCATCAGAACGGGGCAGCACAGTTTGCCCGGGCTGGTACTCAACAGCAGCGTCACTCGCAGCAGCAGAGGGAAGCGACGTACTCCATGCCAGTGAGGAACCCTCCACCTAGCAACGCTCTTCCTAAACTGGGATCGCAGAAGAATCGAATTGGCTCCAGGCCAGCCCAGAATCAGTCCACAAACCTTGACTTCCTCAATGTGCCTGATCAGGGCATGTCAGGGTAAGAAAACACAGATGCACATGCCCCGACAAAAACATCTCAAAACCAGTTTTTGTAAATACTAAACAAGTCTAAAATTTTCCAGAATGCAGCGGAAAAGGAGCATCAGTCAACGGCCTCCACCGGCCCCCTCTAGCCGTCCCAAACCTCAGCCCCGACCACAGGGCCCTCGTTACAGAGCGCTTTACCAGTATTTTGGCCAAGATGTGGATGAAATTAGTTTTGATGTCAATGACATCATAGAACTTATCAGTGAAGGTGAGACCTGGAAATAAAAATGTTGTGAATTAGATTTAGGCTGTTGACTGTTTCTAATGCTCCTCTGGGTTTCCTGCAGATCCATCGGGGTGGTGGCGAGGGCGGATTCATGGGAAGGAGGGTCTCTTTCCTGGGAACTATGTGGAGAAGATCTGACCTCTGCATGTCAACGAGGTCACACTGATGAACCTGCAACCTTGACTTTTGACCTCTAACCTCCACTAGATCATGGAATATCTTAGGCTCTGGGAATTTGGACTCAAGCCAGTGACAAGATCAGCGACTTGTCATCATTTTGTAGGATTTTTTGCAGAATGTTATGAAATTTTTTTAAAGAGACAAATTTGTTGGTACAATTTTCAGGCTAAGAGAGAGCATAAACTGTTTACAAAGACTCTGCATTGTCCACAAATGACCACTTGACTGTGCTGTTGTGCAGTTTGAAGGATTTGAGAGAATGGTTTCTTTTTTTCAAAGGGAAGAACAACAATCACAGCCTTTTCCTTAATTTTTATGTCTAGTTTCCTGAAATTTCCTGTAATATGTAAAAATATTTTCTATGGATTAATTTTTTTTAACCATTTTTTCTCTTCTCATCTATGTAAAATCTTCATTCAAATCTTCATAAAAAGTATAAATTGATGTCTGAACAGTATTAAAGAGAGCTTTGTTTAAAAGATTTCAATGCTGCTCTATATTAAAATTTAAATGACATCCCAAAATAAAAATATAAGAAATATATATAGGATATTTGTACAGGATACAATGTACAAGACAACAAAAAATATTTCCTGATGTTTTAGCCACAAATGTGATTATACAAGTTTGCATCTGGAAGCATGTAGTTATTACCTCTCGAGACAGTGAAAACTTGCACTTGTCTTGGCCAGTAAACTTGTTCCAGAAAATTGGAGCCAAGCCTAAATAACGTCACCATGGAAATGTGTTTTTCCTTGTTTCCTTCCCTAAACATTTATGCAAAAACCAGCATGTTGCTGAGTGTGAAAACTAATACAAATTTAAGCCTGGGCATTCGCATGTGATCTTCATGTTTATGAGGGCTAAACTGCAGCAGTTTCATCTATATGTTCCTATTGTTTCTTTTAGGATATTTGTACAGGATACAATGTAGAGAACAACATGAATTCACTATAGTAACCAGTGTCAGAATACCTATTACTGCTTTAAAATGATGAATATCGAATCTTGGAACAGCTTTTTATTTATTTATTTATTTTTTACATCAGATGACAGTAGAGAAAATTACCTTTGTATGCTTGTTTTTAATCAAGTTTATCAAATCTTGGTGTCAGTTTGATTTAATTTAATATTTTTTTGTATAGCCCTGGCTGGCACGTATTTAACTATAATACTTGCAAAACTATGGTCATATTTATTAAAACACAATAGACAATTTAATACAACCTTTATAGAGCTGAATATTTATATATTGCCACTTGCTGTGGTAAACTGTGGAGAAAATAAAAACGTAAAAAAAGTACTACCTCTAAATAAGCGAAATAAGGGTACTTAAGTACAAAGGGTTTGAAATGAACTTTTTCACCCACCAGCCAATTTGGCTACTAAATTTTTTAAGTTACCGGCCATTCATAATTTCTACTAGCCAAAAAAATTAAACAACTAAATAATGGAAAAAAGACCTGAGCTTGAGGCTGTCCACACCGGATGCGACAAAGTAACCATTGCAGATCATTTGTACTTTGTCAAACAGTAGGCCTACGTCATAAATAGAACGAGGCATCAGTTTACTGTCGGGGATTTGTCGTGCTGTGCTGTGCCACATCCAGTGTAGGCCGCATCACCGATTATAATGGGTTCTATAGTATTTTGTCGCATCTGGTGTAGACACGGTGCGAGTCTTCAGGCATTTTTTTTTTCGTTGCAAAGGAAACAAGTGCGCCCGCCACGCCATTATTTGTTTGCGTAGTGATGGGTACAGGGCTAGACTGGGGTTAAAATTCGGCCCTGGACAAATCCAGCCTATCCGGCCCTCAGGTTCACCTGTGAATATTTTGCTGTGTTATAGGGCCTTCAATTGGAGTAAGTAAATAAATAAATAAATGAAGACAAAAACAAATAATGATATATTTCTGAATTCACAGCAAATGCAACAAACTAATAGCCTACTGCATTTTTGTCACATAGAAATGCACTTGACAGTATAAGCATTGATTTTGTGCTAGAACACAGGAAATTTACTGCTAATAAATGCTGTCATCCTTTCCTCACCCTCATGTCTTTCCAAACATGTATGACTTACTTTCTTCTGTAAAACACAAAAGATATTTTATAGAATATTACAATATATTGCTGTATGTGGCCACCTTTTTCCTTTTAACGAAGTTAAATTTAGGTGAAGGCAAATACTGAAACTGTAAATATTTTTGCGGTTAATGAGTTGAATGGGTGTCAAATTTTCGACAGGTGAGGTGCAGGTAAACTTGACCTCAGCTCGTTAAACTTGTGCTGCAGATCGTGCCAGAGGCGTTTTTGAGAGGTAAGCGATATTTATTACTTTTTAAAATCTAAGATCGTTTGGTACTATCGAGTTGAGAGAGTTTATATAAGATAGGCATGTTAGTCTAATCATAAGCGTTTCGGTCATTGTAGTGTTTGTTTGCTTTCTCTGTAATTCTGTGCTGTACTCCACTACCAATTAATTTATTCTCCAGAGGATTGACTTTTCTCCAGAGGAATGATCTGTGCTCTGCGAGGCAATGATACGTACAAGACCACAGATCCAGTGGTTAAATGTGGTTGTATGATGATAAATGACTGTATATGACATATTGGCTAACTGAAAACCTCGTGAGCTCAGAAAAGGTCACCTGGTGTTTAAAATGGCAACAATAACTGCGTGTTGTAGTGTCACTGGAAATACTTTTGCTACACTTGCATGCAAAATTTGCTTAGGCAAGAGAAACCTGTCATTTTCAGTTTATCTCAGAATAGCACAGATTTTGAATTATCCCACTGAATCGAATCTTTTGATCTGTTCACTAAAAGATTAATTTTGTGTGATATGAACGAGGCACTAAATCATTAACTCGTCCGTTAAACTAAAGGGGTCATATGATGCGATTTCAATTTTTCCTTTCTCTTTGGAGTGTTACAAGCTCTTGGTGCATAAAGAAGATCTGTAAAGTTGCAAAGACTAAAGTCTCAAATCCAAAGAGATATTCTTTATAAAAGTTAAGAGTTAACCACGCCTACCTAAAACGGCTCGTTCTAACACGCCCCCACATTTCTACGTCACTATGTGGGAAGATTTGCATAACGCTGCCCAAATGTTCACGCAAAGAAAGAAGGCATAACTTTTATTCTCACTGTAGTATTGTTGACGCTGCAGCCATGTCGTGAAGACGCTGTGTGCTTCGTTGTGAAAGCGAAACTACTTTGTTTTGCCTTCCAAAAGAGGACGATATCCGCTTCGTCATGCCTAGAGCTGATCTGTGCTGGTCGCTGAGGGAATACATCAACTTTCACCGTGGACAAAGCGGAGTCCAGCCCGAGGTCGTCACATGTGGTTGCCGCTCATTCGTCGGATCCGCCGGGCGCACCGTTCTCGACCCTGCCGCCTCAACTCACTCACGCTAAGCCGGGGCTTCCACTCACGCTAGGCCGCTGTGTTTTTCGTTGTGAAAGCGAAACTACTTTGTTTGGTCTTCCAAAAGAGGACCCGACTAGAAATAAGTGGTTAAGTTGTATTTACAACACTGTTCCAGAACACGTCAACCCAAATATTCGGATGTGTCCAGCACATTTTATGGAGGACTGT